AAACAACAGATTTATTTAAAGAGTATATTAAGAATTTTATGAAAATAAAATTAGAAAGTTCAAAACATAATTATAGTTCTAATGAAGAATATATAAAAGAAGTTTTTGATAAAATGGGTATTTTGTTGGATATAAATCAAATAAGTGATAATCCTGGTAGAAGAGCTGTAACAAAATTATGTCTAGTTAGCTTATGGGGAAAATTTGGACAGCGACAAAAAATGAAAAAAACTGAGTTTGTTACAGACCCACAACAATTCTATAAAATATTATTAGATGATAGATTAGAAAATATAAATATAAAATTATTAAATGACAATATGATACAAATGTGTTATAATTATAAAAATCATTACGTTGAAAATTATCATAATACAAATATTATAATAGCTTTATTTACAACATCTAGTGCAAGATTAAGATTATACAAAATGTTAGATAAATTAGGTAGAGCTGTAGTTTATATTGATACCGATTCTATTTTCTATATAGATAATGGTGTTAATAAAATTTAAACAGGAACAATGTTGGGTGAATGGACTGATGAATTAGGTGAAAATGTACATATTATAACAGATTGGGCATCTACAGACCCTAAAAGTTATTATTATAAAACAAATGATAATAAATTTAAAACGGTTATAAAGGGTTTTGCTTTAAATTATCAAAATTTATTAAAACTTAATGGGGAAGCAATGATAAAATTAATTGAAGAAAATAATAAAAATATTAATATAGAATTAGAATACAAACAAATAACACGTGATACAATTACTAAAACTTTAGTTAATAAAAATGTTACAAAAAAATTCTCATTTGATTATGATAAAAGAATAATATTACCAGATTATGATACAATACCATATGGTTACAAATTATAATCATTTAAAAACTAAATGTTTATAATTATATATTGTAAACTTATTAAATATGCAGGTCAGGTACTCCGAGTACCTGACCTAATTTATAATGAATCAAAAGAAAAAACGTTCTTTAATTTTACTTTGATATTTAACACGTCCGTAAATTACGGACGTGTTAAATATAGAAAAAATGCATAATTTTATAATAAAGATAACAGTATTTCTTCTTCATAAACTGTACCTTCTATATCATACATTTTATAATAAATAACATTTGATTTAATAACTTTTTCAACTGTAAATATTTCTTTAGACCAATTTGTTTTTAATTTATTTCGATACACATCATTTATTGAAGATAATCTAACTCTATCATTTATTTTAAATTTAGGCTTAGAATTACTAATATCATAATTATAAACAGTAGAAAGTAGATCATTCTCGTTTTTCTTATTTACATCAGCAGGTTTCATTTTTATCGATCTATGATATGTATTATTATATGCCTTAATAATCTTTGGTAATTCAGTAATCCATACATTGTTTAAATAAAGTACTTTCTTTAATTTATCACCCAATGTTCTATTAAAACGTTCAATTATAGATGCCTTTTTATCGGTACCTGTACTATACATTGTAATGTTATATTTGTTTAGTAATTGTTTTAAATCTTTATTATAAAATTCCTTACCCTTATCTACATGTTATTTCTTAGGTACATTATGTTTAAATATTTGTGAAAATGCCTCGGATACTTCTAATCCACTTTTCGTTTTCAAAGCTACAGAATAAACTTTTTTAGAAAATGTATCAATAACATTAAGAATATATTTAAAACCATTATTAGCTTTATATAAGGCTTTATGGTTATCATTAACTTTAACTTTATCCTCATTATGTTTATTTCTTAAATTATAATTGGGATCACTATTTGTAGATTTCGGCCCATAAAAACAGTACATAATATCAGCCTGCCAAGTTTCATTTATACCTCTTTGTATAAAATGTCTTGTTTCAAAATGTTTTCTAGCCGGTTTAAATAATTCATAAGCTTCTATAAGTTCTGGTGGTTTTGATATACTATTCTTATTTGTATTACATATTTTACGTACTGAAAACCTCCTATATTTATTATTTTTTTAAATAAATTCAGGAATACCTATAATTCTAGTTTGAGATATACAATTTTTGCAATAGTCCATTTTATTTAAGATATATATATTTAATATATTTTCTCTAATTGTATTATTGATAAGATCATAAAAAATTTCTGTACCAGATACTAAACAAATATAGGAAATGGTATTGGCAGGCACATCTTCGTTGAAATCTGCACGTAAGATAATACTTGTTTTAGATCCAGAAACATCTGAGGGTTGCCTGCTCATATCAATTACAAAAAATGGTCTGGTATTTTTAAATTCCTCTGGAGTTATATACATTAAAGATAAATCTCTATGTACTCTATTATAAACATTCTTATAACTCATTAACATATCATAAGTAATATTAAAATAACCTTTTTTAAAATCTAAGTTTAATAATTCTTCTGGATACCTTATATTGATGGTATACAATATCCAACCAAATATTTTTCAAATTACAATTACTAAACTCTATTGGGTCTCCCAATTGATTATTTAATCTATCTGTCTGAAAAGCTACGATAGCAAATAAAGGATTATGGACATTTCTATACATATTTGTTATATCTTTGTTTAGTGTTTTACCAGTAATATTACTTTCAATACATTGCCATGATTTGAATCTAAATAGATATTCATTTCTCTTGGACAATGAAACTAAATCATTTATCAATTTAAATTTATACGCATCTTTATAAGTCACAATTGGTATGCTAATAAGTAATTCTTCAATAACAACTTATTGCTTCTTATACGGTGCCAGGTCGACCGACTGTTATATTATATTAAAGTGTTGTTCGTGCGACCTGTGCTGCTATTGTTATACGGCCGCTGTTTGGTTTGGCGAGCATCTGTGAATACGCGTGCCTTCGGTTCTGATCAAACCGAACCCACACCAGCTGTATTCTCTGTTATACGTCATCGTAGCCGCCGCACCCCGTGACAAGTGCTACGTCTGGACTTAAACTTCAGTGGTCATATTGTCGCCGTACCTATTATCAAGTCGGAGTTGGCAACAGCCAAGTCATCCCCAACGGTCGCAGGAGACGCGCGTAATTATTATCATACCTTGTGTTGTATTATTATTTATCATAATCATTTGATGATTATTCTATGTTATTATCTATACTTTGTATTTTCCTATTGATTGGTACTGAGGCGCCGGTACCAAATCACTAGCCATTGCTTCTATTATTATTATTTCTTTTGTATTTCATCAATAAATTATTGTATGTGCCTTGCCATACGTGCCCGTTATATATCTCAGAGTATAGTTGATGAGGTCATAGTCTGACAATCCTACTGTCACATTGGTCCTGGTATTCCTTCAAACTGTTGACTTTCGTTGATGTAGTCAATGAGGCCGACCACTAAAATCGTAGGAGCCTCTTGACTAAACAATAATCGAGGATGGTATATGTTTAAAAGAAGCAGATTTTAAAGAAACTATTAACTTTTTCCCTAGAGAAAAATATTTAAAACAGACACAACTTAACGGTTACAAGTATACAGCATAATTAAACATTATATTAATTTAATTTCTTATAAATGGGAAATATATATTGTGTTAAATGTAAACAAAAAACAGATAATATTAATCCACATATAATTATGACTAAAAATAATTTGAAAAGAATGTCTGCAAAATGTAAAAAATGTAATTCTTTAAAAAGTTGTTTTATTAAAACATAATTTTGTATACAATGTATTCTTATATATATATACCTTTAATTTAGCCGCAACTATAGTTGTGCGGGTATACATAAATATATATATATATATGTAATTCATGTCTATTTTTAACATTCACCCCATACGGGTGAGTGTTAGATCCACCTTACATATAAATATATATATATATACAATTTAGCCGCAAGAATAGTTGCGACGTATACATATATATATATATACAATTTAGCTGCAAGTATAGTTGCGCGGGCATAATAAAATGATTTTGATAAATAATGATATATTTTTAGATTTATGGAATTTTAATATAATATGTTATATATTCATAATTATTGCATTTTTCATGTTTGTAATCTATTTGTTCAAATTGAATATCATTATTTTTTAAAAAGTCTATAAAATTATGTAATTTATATCTATTAATAACACGTGCGTTTTTTCCGCACGTGTTATTATTATCACAAAAACCCATAAATTCCAATAAATTTTCAGTAATTAATATTAATTTAATAAAATAGCCGCAAGTATAGTTGCGCGGGTATACATACATACATACATATATATATATATATACATTTTAGCCGCAGAAATAGTTGCGCGGGTGTACATACATATATACATTTTAGCCGCAAGAATAGGTGCGCGGGAATAATAATAAGAAATATTAATTACTAAGAATATATTGAATCTTATAAATAAAAATGATAATAAAATCATGGCCGGTTTTTCCGGCCATGATTTTAGATATCAAAAATATATATATATATATATATATACACAATTTAGCCGCAACTTCAGTTGCGCGGTTATACATGCATATATATATATATAATATTACACACATTAGCCGCAACTACAGTTGCGCGGGTATACATACATAATTTATGGGGTTTGGTGACAATAAAAACACGGTCGAATTATTCGACCGTGTTAGAATTAAGCTGGTTACACACGGAGCGATTCGAACGCGATTCGAATCGCGGCAAATAATCGCCCGAAATAGTACACGTGTATTTTGATCTTGATATTCAAACGGGGAATAACAGACGCGTTCGGATCGCAAGTGTACGCGATAAATCGCGTAGGTTTGATTTTAGCGCGTTCGGTCGCGATCAAAGTCTAAAATTAGACCGTGTATTTCAAATGGTCATATTCACACGAAACGATTTTAACGCTCCATAGGCGCGTTTTTTCCAATTTTTGTTCATTCAAAAAGTTGACATTGGTATGACCAGAGGTCCAGAGCTCGTTATTTATTTTGCTATCCATTTAGTATTTATTTATTTCATACTAAACAACAATAATGTTTGACAACGAGGCATTTATAATTGATGTGCAGAACGAGGAAAGTATTTGGAATACTGGTAAGTGTATATATTATTTATATCATTTAAATATCATTAAAACACTCACCAGTGATCAATCATCAATAATATTGTCATATTCCTTGTTTTTTTATTTTTCTATCCAAAATATGCGGTATTCTGTGCTTAAATAGTACATAGGAACTTTCCATTCAAGAATCACAGAACAAAACAATTGACAATTATACAATGTACCTATAAACATTTTAAAAATGTTGAACAAACTTATTTGATTTATCGAACTGAAAATTCTAATTAAGAAAAAAATACTGGTCTCTTTCTTATTTATGTCTCTTGTGTAAAATACATACAATTTTTAAAAATGATTGAAATCTTATTAAAAATATACTTATATAATTTTACTCATAGCTGGGGTGGTGCTACACTGGGACAAGGGTGGGCAAAGTTTGATTTTGCCCCTCCATTAAAATTTATGTCTAATGTTGATATTTAGAAATATGGTACTTGTGCATAAATTTGATTCAACCATCATAATTAAATAAATAATTCTAACATAATAAATTTAATTTATTGATTTTTATTTTAATAGGCAATACCAACATGTTAATATGTTGCTATTTAGATACTAAGTCCAAAAAGCCCTCTCTTTTTTTGTCTAATTGCAATAAACATAAAATATATTAATGTGCATATAACACATTCATATTATGTCATAAGTCATATAACCTTATGACAAGTTTACATAAATTATATAAGTACTTTAGGTTATACCTTTACCTACTTTGGATTCCATAATGTTAAAAACATGTAAAGAAATAAAGAAATTGTAAACCATTATTTGCATATAAAATTGTATTAATAACTTCAAAGAGTTTTTAGACTTGAGTTATAGTATAGGTACCTATTAAGTTTGACTGTTATATTCAAATTTAATATGCTTTTTTTGCACATTTAGAAATAAAAATACTCAATTAAGTTAATACTAATACTGTACACTTTCTAAAATCTCATACATTAAAAAATAAAAAGTTAAGTATTATTAGGAAATTTGAAGTTTTACTGTAGTACTTTTGTGATAATAATATAGTAGGTATATTTTTGATCATTTATTTAGAAATATAGTATATTATACCCAAAACATTTTAAGCAATACTTTCTGAAAATATGATACCTACCTATAAACAAATTAATGAGTGATCCAGTAGCCGTATATAAATGCCTCACCAGAAAAAAATTTGGCCCCTCCAATAAAAAATATCTGTCACTGCCACTGACTAGTAGATTTTACGTTTTGAATCTTCCTTACATATCTTGATGCAAGTGATGTATGTACTTGTTGAAGGTTAATACTTTTTACTTTTTGTTCAATATGTATGTTTGAGCCCTGAAAAATTTCACTATCTGAGCCACTGTACCAGACTGCTTTTATCAATGACTCTCAATTCTCATTAATATTAAAAAAACAATTGATAAAACTATTCATTTAGCTTTTATAAAAATTACATGACGTGACATTCTGTTATATTTTTCTGTTTGTGCTGTGTAGCTGGTCACTGGTGAGGGTGCTGGACAATTTAACTACCTATAATTTTTTGTTCTACAATAATAAATTTATCTTTTTATAGTAAATAAATAATTAATGAATAAATCAATTTTTAGAATCAAAACTATACCACGATAGGGTTGCGAGGCACGTGAGTTGGACAAGAGTAGCCAAATCTACTTACAGTAACTTTGACAGTCTGGAAGAAGAAGACAAAAGATCAAAACGTAAGATACATACTGTGGAGATAAAACCTGTAAAGCTCAGTAAAAGACTAATTTGGCATTTTGGCTAAAAATAATTAATTAACATTAAACCAGTTTTCCCTTTAAAAACCAATACCTATATTTTTTAATTATTTTATTTTATTATATTTTTTTTTTTTAATAATTGTAGCGTTCTAAGTGACCTTCCACATATGATTAAATGCAATCTGCATTTGAAAAAACGCATGTTCCAAGTCACCCAAAAATCCGGGTGACTTGGAACAAGCACTTTTTATTTTTTTTTACCTTAATTTACTTAAGACCTTAATTTTTTTTTGCTCAATCTATTCCTTGGAGGTGTGCGACACTGCATGATTTTTTACAGAATTTAATTATCAATAATGAATGAGTTACAGTAGTTAAAAGGTGAAAATCGTTCCAAGTCACCCGGGTTGACGGTAATAAGAAATGTTTAAAAAATAAATAAAAAACAGTCATAGTCTAATATAGGTACTGGATAATTTGCCAAGTATTGAAGTATGTTCACCCTTTTAGTATCCTTAAATTAAATGTATTGATTATTATTTATTAAAATTCTTATTTTTTGAATTTTTAAATGTTTACTCAAAAGCCAAATCAATACTTAGATTTTTTCAATAATTTTATGAGTATCCTATACAGATACAAATTAATTTTTTTTTTGAAAAACATCCATTTTCTCTTGTAAATTGTTGATCGAATTAGTTAAAAGGATGTCAGCTCATTGTATTTTTCCTCTCTATGACTCAAATGCAACAAGCAACTAGTTCACCGCATGCTCTTATTGCATCTAAATTCAAATTCAAAATAGTATTTTTTGAGTAACGGAAATTTATTTTATGAATACTTAGCATAAATTAATATTTTTATTGCAAATATGTTTTTGCAGTTGCTGAATTGCAAAAGAAGTGGAAATCATTTAGGGACACCTTCCGCAGGAAATGTGTAACAAAGTCAGGTCAAGCAGTAGGAAAATCAAATACATATGTATATTCTCAAATACTCGAGTTTTTAAGACCAACCATGAAAAATAGACTGTGAGTACTGTGATACTATGGCCCAAATGATACTCCCTAAAAGTTTTCTACTATTAATTTGCTGCTGGTTAAAAACAGTTGTTAACTAAATTGAAATTAATACAAATCCACAAGTATTGGCAATTATTTGAGTTAGTTAAATTAAGTAAAAGTTACAAATCCATAAGCCATAATTCAATAGGTACTTAATAAACAATATAATTAATTAATAGATAATGTGGAGAAAAATACTAACTTAACTCTGTTGAAGTTCTTTCATCTTATTTTCAATTACCACCTAGTTCACACGTTTAGTGATTGTGATACATATTTTCATGTTTATACAATAAATTTAAATGTATCCTTTTCTATTTTTTCTAATCACACATTATCTGCAGTGGTTTTGGTATACCTATTTTAAATATTAATTTAAGGTATATTTATTAAGTTAAATGGAAATTAACTAATTTAGTTAAGTTAAAAAGTTAAAAAGAATTTAACTATTTAACATATTTTAGTTTTAATTAGATAATGTATTTCTTTGCTAATTGGTCAATATTTTGTATAGGACTGAAAGTAACATAGAGCATAGCGATGAAAGTGATGACGATGTAGGTTTTGAAGAAATAGATGAAGATATTGCAAGAGTTACCGAAAAGTGCCCTAAACCTAACCTTACAGCCTATAGCAACAAGGAAGAAACAATCAGTCAACATCAGTCAAAAAAAATAAAAGTGGTGAAAAAACCAGCATTTGAAGACAATTTAATAAATATTTTAAATAACCGTCAAAAGGTCGATGCTGATACATCATTTGCACTCTCCATAGTTCCACTCATAAACAATTTAAGCGATGAGCAAAAAACTCAGGTATATATAGATATTCTAAAAAGTATTCAGAAAGTTAAAGAACCAAAAAATTCTGACATTCAAACAACATCTAAACCTCCAAACTCTATCCAACCTTACGTAAGCATGTATCCACATGCTTATGACCACCATTCAAATCCCACATACTCAAATATACCTCAATCTTATGTAACTTCACCAGCTCTTCACCCTAACAACTCTATACATTTTAATCATCCAAATTTCAATCCCATAACCCCCACATATTATCCTACAACTTCTACACCTAATCCATCAAATACCTCTATACCTTATTCATCAAATACTTCTGAATGTGAAATTCAAAATTTAAACATGTCAAAACCACTTTAGCTTCTTTATATACTTTAATAACACAACTTAAATGTACAACATTGAATTATCAAAGTATAATTATTATTATTATTTGTTTTTTTTTTTATTTTACTGTATTTAATATTATATCTATGACTGAAGATAAGTTAAAGATAAGTTTTTTATTATATATTTTAACAATGCCTAAAATATTGTGGTTATTTTACTATTAATTTAATACCACTAAGGTTCAGTGGACATACTATTATTATAAAGTCTTTAATAAAACTGTTTTTTACTTTATTTTATTATTTCCAACTTTTCTGCCACAGAATTTTGAAAAAAGTACTTATTGCTTTATAGATATTGTTCATCAGTGAGTTAGGTACAAAAATAAGGACACAAATGATAGTATAATATACATATAATATAAACATACTTATTCAAATTGTAGCAATACTAATAACAAACATGTACTTATATCATAATAAACATACAATGTATTATGTAGGTATATAAAAAGCTAATGACAAATGACATTGGTTTGCCAGTCAAGCGCATGGTTTGTATCATTAACATATTGCACAAAGTACTCTCTGACATCTTTAGCATTGGTTGGAGAGTTTCCCACCCCCCTTCTTTCAGTTATGCTTTGCATGGAACTTTGGGTGTCTTCAGTGTTAAACCCATCACGCCGTCGCACAAAATTATGAAGTACACAGCAGGCTTTTGTGATTTTAACCGCAGTTTCTGGTTCTACAAGCATGCTGGTCTGGAAAACCCTCCACTTTTTTGACATAATACCAAAGGAACATTCAATATACTGATGGGCTCTAGATAATCTGTAATTAAATATTCTTCTCTGGTCATTTAAACTTCTTCCTGGAAACGGCCTCAATAAATTTTTATGCAGAGCAAATGCTTCATCAGCCACTAACACAAATGGTTGTGGCACTCCAAGATTGTCATTTGGTAAGCATTGATTTTCTGGAAAGTTGGTTCTGTTTGTGTAAAGTTTTTTGCCAAATGCAGATGTTTTGAAGACATTGCAGTCACTCTCCTTCCCGTAAGAACCCACATCAATTACTCTAAAGCAGTAGTTAGAGTCGCAAATAGCCATGAGAATTAATGAAAAAAAATGCTTATAATTGTAATACAATGATCCACTATTTTTTGGGCACTCAAGTCGTATATTATGTTTACCATCCACCTGTAATCAAAATTTGTGAAGTTAAAATATAAATATTTATTTTAAAAACAACATATCTTAAACGACTTAAACAGGCACAACTAGGACTACATTTTTTTTGTAATAGTAAAATAACAGTTGAACATTTTTATTTTTTAATTATTTGATTAGTTATTTATACAAATATTAAAAATGTTAATATTTAGAGGTTTTAAATTCTAGTTATACATTTTTGTAAAATTAGATTCTGAACTGAGTAATAACAATCAATATATTGATTTTAACAATGATTTTTTTTTTTTATTTTTTTTTTTGTGTCAGAGGATAACATTTGGATGAGTAATAGTGCTTCAATTTTAAAAATCAAGGGTGGTTGTGGTTTTGGGTAGCTATGTGAATTTATATTGTACTTTAGGGGGTCAAAAGTAAAAAATGTTCAATAGTTTTTAAATGCGACATGAAAAACAAAAAAAAAAATTAGAGAAAAATGGTAATTTTTACGCAAAACCAGTTTTCGACAAAATTGAATTTTTGATTTGACTGTTACTCAAAAACTATGAACTGTTGATACTTTAAATTTTTACCAAATGTTTATATTGACATCATCTAAACATAGTACAATTTTTACTTTTTTGAGCTATTTAAAGGCAGTTGAAATTTTCAATTTTTCTTATTTTTTTTCGTATTTTTAATCATAGGTTTCAATTTTTTTATAAGAGTAGAAAGATCAAATTTTTACGAATTATGTTAAAATCGCAAAAATTTGAAGTTTTTTTGTAGTTTAAAATTCATACATTTTTAAGTATTTATATCTAAAGTTGGAAAATTTGGTACAAAATTCTCCATTATTTTTTCTTCGATTATCTGTAAAAAAAACTTTACCGGGCTATAACCACAAAATTCTTCAAAATCACACGAATATTTGCAAATTATTTTGTAGTTCAAAATGTATAAATTTTTTTGTATTTATAGCTAAGAATTGAAGATTTAATACAAGCTTGTTCATAAGTTTTGTTACAATATTCATAAAAAAATCGAGCGTAAGTCAATTAAACAATTTTTAAGAGCATCTAAATTTTAAATTTTACATTAAAAATATAAAAATTCACCCGTAAAAATATCAAACGGTTTTAGATTTTAAATAAATAAATAAAATATCCTAGACTGACAAATCGTCTCCGTTCAGAATGGTTTTTCGTATACAATGATACCTATCATTGCATTCAAATTAAGCACATCTATTATAGTGACCTACTCTATGACCGAGGTCCACTCAACTCCTACTGTACAGCAGAGCGAGTTCCCGATTTTTATTTATTATTTTTTGCCATTTAATCATAGCATTAGATTATTTTTACAATTATTAAGAGGGGGCGAACATGAAATACTTCTATCATACTATAATTGACTATTTATTTTAAGAAAATATTTTTCATCACCCAGTAAACTTTCCTTAAAAATACACTGCCTACACCCCTCTATTAAGTTGATATTGTTACTTAATTGTTGTTATAATCGTTAAGTTCACAGTTCACTTATATTTGACATTACTATTAGCTACCTATAATTGTATCGACAATATTAAAAATATAAATTTATTGTCAAACAGATAAACTCACGGCACCAACAGTATTTGGAAATTGCGTTTTTTCAAAAAAACCTTTTGCAACATCTTTCCAGTCGTCTGTTGTCGGTTCCGCCATTTCTTTAGGTTGTAATACTTCCCATAAAACTTCACAAGTTTCCCGCACAATCATAGCTATAGTAGACACTCCCGCCAGAAATTCAAAATGCAGAGATGAGAAATGCGTTCCAGTTGCTAAATATCTAAATACGTAAATACATAAAAAATTAATGACATAAATCCAATTAAGACTTAAGAGACTATATCTCGAATTTTAAATTTTAGTAAAATAGTTGATTACATTGTATATTATACATTTTATAAAATATTTTTAATTGTCGATCGTAGTAAATATTAATGTTATTATTTCACCGTGACATTGTATACTATTTACTTACCTCAAAGTTATGGTTAATCGTTCTTCTTCTGATATTGGACTACGCATATTAGTAACTTGTCTTGTGAGATAAGGCCTAACAAGTGAAATCTAAAAAATATATTTATAAATTATATAAGTAAAATACAAAGATAAAATATAATATATATAATATAGTAAATTGTATATGTATAACTTTTTTAAAAGAATGTTTATTTTTTCTCTTACTAATTCATCGAATGTTGGGATAGACATCCTGTAGTACTTCGTGAATTCTTCTGGATGAGCTCTCAATGACATAAAATTTACCTGAAATTGTCCTTCTTGAGGCCTCTTCAGGTTAATTGGATGCACCCAATAGCGCCTATTGTAGCTTTTCTGCTTTTTTGCTTTTTGATGGCGTTTATATAAAGCGTAAGCTACGGCTACGGCCTCAACATCGTCTAACTCCATGATTTAATGAAAAAATTAAGTACACTATTCACTTTTAAATAACTTTAAATTCACTTTAAATTTATGGTAAAATTTTGTAAGTGTTCCTCAACCACGTTTTCGGGACAAATGATTCGCTCCAATTTGTATAACCTATTATTTTGACTTTTATTAAGTTTGGTGCCAATAAATTGGGTATGAGAAATTAGTGGGGACGCGATTTTTGACCCGAGTTAAACGCTCGTGTGTAAGCGTACGCGTACGCGTTTTTATATTTGCCGCGATTTGAAAATCATGTACGCGCGCGTTCGAATCGCTCCGTGTGTAACCAGCTTTAGAAATTATTATAAACATTTTATAGAATTTTTTCAATTTAGCCGCAAGTGTAGTTGCGCGGGTATACATACATTATATATACAATTTAGACGCAACTTCAGTTGCGCAGTTATACATACATATAATATATATATTATATACATATACATTTTAGCCGCAAGAATAGTTGCGCGGGTATACACACATAATATTACACACATTAGCCGCAACAACAGTTGCGCGGTTATACATACATAAATATATATTATTATAAGTCCTATATTTCATTTAATATTTAATATTATCAAGTCGGAACAACACAGATATGTTTTATATGCTTATCTACACTACATATTAAAAGTTTACCCCCGTTTCATATTTTTCATTTAAGTATAACTCCGTTGCTATTTATGTTAGAATCTTCATTTTTACATCAAACATTTTTGATTTTAATTCTTTATAAGTCCCCCTCATAGTATCATAGTGTAAAATCGTTTTCAAAGATTTTTGGATTTTAATAACGCGCGCCCCATTCGGGTGAGCGTTAAAATAAAAATGATAATAAGGAATTTATGGGTTTTGGTAACAATAATAACGCGTGCTCTAATGGGGCACGTGTTAAATTCTAACATGGTCGGATTATTCGACCGTGTTATATTTTATACAAAATATGTGAAATATCGATGTAATTGTATACAAATTGTATATAAAAAAAGCACTGAAATTTGGATGTAAAAGTGTTAAAATATATAAATTTATAGAATTTTTTAAAAATTTAAATGTAATGACGCGTGCCGGAATGGGGCACGCGTTAAATATAGATATGAAATGCATACATTTTTAAAAAATAATGATATTGAATTTGAACAGATTTGTTTAAATTTTTTGTAATTTTAACAGATTTGTTTAGATTTTTTGTAATTTTTAACAGGAAAATATAAGGTCGGTTTTTTTTTTTAATGTTTTTTCAATGTTATTTTAGATGTTTTTTATGCTTTTTTGTGTGTTTTTTATGCTTTTTTATGTTGTTTATGCATTTTTTAATGTTTTTTATTCATTTTTTAAAGATTTTTTAAGGTGTTTTTTTTGTAATATAAAAAGTGTGCTCAAGTGCCCCATATACTACTATAAATTAACAATCCCAATTGTTGTTTTATCAAATATTTAATTTAAATGTACAAAAATATATTATACGATTAAAATTATGTTTGCACTATTGGGGTATTTCCATTATGATATCTATGCTGAAACGTTCCCGCCGCACCGCAACAATACCCCATCATGCAAACTGTAGACAGTAGATACAAGGCGACTAGACATAACCGGGCAATGACCATACGCTTTTCACTTAGCTTTCCGCTGATCGTCAATCAATTTACTATTTAGTAATTTAGTATTAAAGCAAATAAGCAATCTTCATTCCTCGTGGCTTAAGTCTCGAACACACGACTGTGTCAATAGTCAATGTTGAGTATTAATGTATTACCTTTACCGGGCTTTACCTACCTACCTAATTGTTTTTAAATTTATAAGTCGTCAACTGCCAAGTGTTTTGTGTATTGTGTTACGACTTTACGTATATAACATACGTTTCTGTGTTATACCCATCTTGGAAGTTCAAGAAGCCAGAAATATAAATAATAATATTATATTAAATATAATTAAGTACCTACCGTTTTTTTTATAGGTAGGTTAATTTAACTTACGAAGCTTAAGATCGTCATTATTTGATTATCGCTAATAAAAAGTTTAATTAATTAATTATTTAGTATAGCCGGTATATTTAGGTACAGTAAAAAAAAAATATTATAGATTTTTTGATAATTTTGTTAAGTAGACATTTTAAGTTGGTTTTGATAATGATTTGTTACATATGTAAAAATGAGTTTATACAATTACAGTCATTAGTTATCCATTTCAAAGTATTTCATTCACTTGGCCCTGATAGTTCTTATGATTGTTGTGAAAAGTCATGCTTTCAGTCATTTCAGAGCTTGAGCTCATTTAAAAGACATGTAAAAAACAAACATATCATTAAGTTAGCATCAAATGTTTCTGTACCTACCCAAAACTGCATTATTAACAATACAAATATTGATACTCCGAGTCTCACATCCAATGCAACCTCAATATTTGCAGGGCCGCATTTAGGGGGGGGGCACTGGGTACAACTGCCCCGGGCGCCAGTATTTTAGGGGCGCCAAAATTTTGTGGACAGAAATGTCTTTACTTATGATTTTTTAAAATTGTATACTTTAAATTATTTTTATAACAGTATTATATAATATAATCTACTAATCTAGTATAATAGTATTGTATATATTATTATAGTATAATAATTATGCTGTTTGAAATTTATTATTTAAACAATCAATGTATTTATAGCAATATAGCTACAGCGATCGATAATTATTAATATACCTAGTTCCCAAATTTGTTGTGATTATGTCAATAGACATCTGTCGCACAAAGTCCTTATTGCCGACCCAGAGGAGATCGACCGACTCGGCTACACCTAATAATAATATATTCTAGCAAGGTTTTATTGCCCCACGCTCTGACCGAACGAATATGACTGCGATAAGCACCGCAACGCAAGACACAGAGGAAGGTGGACACCTTATAGTTAACTTAAATATAAATAGGAATGAAAACTACAAGAATTCTAGGTTTTAATGACGAGCCAAAAGGCACCGCCTTACTATTTTACAAATAATATTACAATTTTCTATCTTTATAATGGATGGGCGCCCACTAATTGACACACATAAATACAAATACCATTAATAATATAATTACAAAATATATGAAATTACAATATCATCCTGTAGAGAGATAGTACTAGTTACAATAATAAATACTATGATGGTATAATCACCGGTCTCCTTGATATTTGTCTTCCCGAGACGAAAAATGCAGGTGACAAAATTGGCAGCGCAACAACTTGTAGTTACGTTAAACCGTAAGTATTATCTCCGCGGCGACGACTGGGTACACGATTGGCGCCCATGCGGCGTGGTAGGTATTCAATGTCGACAACGGAAGACACCAGGAAAGGTCACGTCGAATTCGAGAACGGGCAACACAATTTTCACGTCGCCGATACTCCGCGCGATGTTTAATGGCGACGGCCACCGAACAAAACACGTGCACACAAAACACAAGACCAACGGTGCCGTTGCAAAGGTTGCGGCCGACAAGTACACCTGGTACAACGTGCCACGGGTGATCGACGGAGGGTCACTGACTTGACGTTGACGGTTTCGCGATGAGACGGCAGGCAGTGACAGAGATGGCACAGGCGGGGCGGGGGTATCGAATATTCTAGAAACGACCGTAATGACCGGCGACAATTATTGGCGATAACGTTCCGGCGGCCAAATAACGTTATCGAGTATTTTTACAGATATCCGACACATCAGTTATTTATAATAATACGGGCAATACCAATACGGCGTATTGATTTTATATTACATAGTTTTGTACTTATGATTAAAATAAAGGAAGTTCCAAAACAATGATCTTGAATATTATTCTATATTATAAACATCATTCATTTAAATAGGTAATATTATTTAATTATTTGCTATTAAATTTTGTGTTTATTATAATCATTATTTTTTGTAATTTCTATTAAATTAAGTAAGTAAGAATCAATTAAACTATAGGTATGTAGAGATTCAAAAATAATTAATGTTTAATAACTGGTAAGTTGACAAGTTGTTATGAAACAAATTTATGCAGGTCACTTTTTTGTCACTTTTATAAATAAATTCAGTCACTTTTTTTAAATAGCTTAAACCACTACCAGCCCTGTATATAGTTACATTAATTTTATAAAATACTATATACAATAAAATATAAAATATTTATTTGCATAGTTTTATATAATTTTATTTTATTTATCCATGAAGTACCTACTTAAATATGTTTAAAAAAAAAAACAACTTATTGATACTAAATTATTAGCAAGGTTTGAGTGACATAAATTCCAATATATCTTTGCGGAGGGATCAAGCAATTACTAAACAATATTTTTTTAAAAAAGCACTCTTAAACAAATATTCTTTTCTTCGCTCAAAATCTAAAGGGTAATGAGGTTCTACCTCACATATTTTCCGTGGGAGGAGCAATTTTTTTTTCACCGGGGCTTGGGGGGCGCCAATTTTTTTTTTTGCACCGGGGCGCAAAATGTCTAAATGCGGCACTGGATATAAGCTAGACCTATATGGTGATTTTCCATCATTAATAAAGTTAAAATCAACGTAATAGTAAAAGTTTTAATGATTTAATTTGACTAATAAATGATTTGGAAATCAATTTAATTATATAAAATCACATGGGATAGCAGAGAAGTTAAATAAATGAAACAATAGTGTCTAATAGTTAGCTACAACTAAACGATGATTTATTTTGTTACATATTATATCTATAAATCATCGATAGACAGCATTCAAAAGATAATTAATTAGTGACTACCATTACAATGAAAAAATTACATTATAAACCAATACAAAACGGCTAAAAAGAAATGGTAATAAGAAATCGAATGTAAAAAGCCTAGTTTAATAAAAAATCTAAATTGGATGATGTGTATTTTATTTTTTCAACATCAATTTTTTATCCAATTTAGTTTTTTATTCAACAAGACTTTTATTCAATCTGGATTTTTTAATAAAAATTACAGTTTGTCTCGAAATAATTTCAATAATGAATTCTTATTAATCTAAAAAACTGAAAAATTAATCTTAAAAACTATGAATAAAATTGAACCATAAAAATTATTACAATAACTGACTGAAAAATTAATGTAAATTTAAAATAAATAAAAACAAAATAATTAAAACAATAAAAAATATAATTGACACATAAAAATTATAAAAAAATAATAATTTAACCAATTTTAATAATTTTTGTCATTTACATTTATTTAGAATTTTTAATAAATTATGGTTTTTATTTAACTGTTTTTTTTATTCAAATCCGTTTTTATATTCAATTTCGACTTTTTTTATCTTATTCGGATTTTTTATTCAAAATGGATTTTTAACCGATTAATATTTTTTATTCAACAAATCTCATTAGATTTTTATTCAACTTTGCATTTTTTTTTATCCAATAAGCTCAAATAAAAATCTTGTTGAATAAAAAAAAAAAAATGGAAATACTACCGATAAATACACTAAATTATACCTGGAATAAAATCATCAAGGGTCCCTAAATCCCTCCCCCGCAAATACGACCCTGCCATGTAGCTATATTGAATTACATTTACTAACCAGCCACTTTCTTATTAATTCATACTCATTACTTTTCAACTACCTAGTACCTTGATAGTATAAACTAGCCTCGTAAAATGTAATTAATGACTTATGTGTTATTTTTACTCCAAACTTGACTAATGTGAATAATCTGTACTAATGTGTACAGATTTTAATAATGAATCAGCCTTAAAAGTTCTGTATTGTTCCTATGTCTGTCTCTTTAGTTTGGCATTCGGATAGTATCTCTCAATATCAGTATTTAAGGTCTGTTCAAAAGTTTTTTTTTTGATATTTAAGCTATAAATGCGCTGATCAAAGACTTCCACATACCCTGCAATCGGGCCTACATGATCATATAAGCAATTTTATTAATATTATTAATATTATTAACTCAATAATCACATTGATTTCCACAACTAATAGAGCATTTAAATTTTATAATTAATTCATTTAATTCTAGGAATAAATACTTATTTTATACTTTTTTTGGTTTTAGTGCATACAATATGCAACCTGTGATTACATTTATGTTGGTTGGTAATTCTATCTGTAATATTGATTTATTTAATACATCACTCAATGAGTAAATAAATTATCATATTAATTGTAGGTATATTGACATTTGTAAATGAAGTACCTATTTGCACTCATTTTTGTAATTTATATATATCTATGATATTAAATAGGTAGGTAGGTAGGTAGGTAGGTACTTGGTACTATAATATAATATAGGCTATAATTTACATTTGGGGTCTACTTAATATGCTTTTATTATTCTCATAGTATTTTTATTATTAATTTTTTTAGGTAGGTACCTATGTAGTAGGTAGGTAACAGTTGTTAGTTTTAAATTAAATGATTTTGAATGTTATAATTGTTTATCTAATACACATAAATGTATTAAGATACACAATGCAAACTATATACATACATAGGTACCTACTTGTATATACATGCCATATCGCACCAGTATACATTATAATTAAGTACTGGTTTAAAATAAATAATAATTTATATTAAGATTTAAGACATTAAATAAAACGTACCTATATAAAGTAATATCAATATTATACATTATACAAGTATACATCATATTACGCCTTTTTTTTATTGAACAAAATGTAGTATATTTACAATCTGTATATTTTACAAGTTATACAATGCCTAAATTTGATGATAGTTTATTGACGGAAATGTGAAGTTACTGGTATATTATACTGGTTATATTAAATCAGTCTGACTGATAATTTCAGACTTCCCCAACGTTTTCAGCATGTTTAACTACACAGGTACATTAAAACAAATAAATTGAAAGAAATGGTGTTCACTGTTCAGACTATAACTTAAAAACTAATCATTGCCGGAAATTAATTTTTGCAATATCCTTCTTAACTCATTGTAATACATGGGTTTTCTAAAAAAAAATTTTAAATTCGTGTGGGTGTTAAACTAGATTTGTTCCCAATAAATTATTATAACTATATATGCAAGTACATATATTATATTGGTAAAGTGTCCCTTGTGGGTGGGGGGGGGGTTACCCCCTTAATCACCCCTCCCTTGAGCACGCCCATGATTTCTACCACCATCATAATTAGTTTTCAAAATGACATACAATAATATGCACGTAAAATGTGTGTGTCCTGAGTGTCTCATATGCAGCGGGCATAACCCTTCCTGGAAACAATATGACAGTGAGGACTTAAAAGAAAAACGGTCATGAGTCGTACCGTGTTTCAACTTTGTGTCCCGTTGTCCCGGCAAGTTATGCGGAACCCATGTTGTCCAGTTTTTACAAGCTATTCGGTTTTTATTAATCTCTTTTCCCCCTTACTGTTAATTAAAAATGTTTGAAATTTACTTTATAAAAAAAATCGTTTTTTCTACAATATTTTTTTTGTTCAATATTGTTGTACGATAATATCCAAAATATAAATTAATATAACACAACCTTACCTAACCGAAGAATATGCGAATCTATACTTTTCAGTTTTCTGTGGTATTTTTGGATTCTTGTTTTGACCTTAATTACTGCAGCCTGCAGGTGGAAAATATAAAACTATTATTGTCACATTGTTCTCGGCAACGTTATTGTTCTAGGGTAAAAGGTACCTACATAATATAATACGTCGTCGCCTTATCAAGTACAATCCCACCCGCCGAAACCAGTTCATTGTCAAATGTGTGCGTGTTGCGCACTATAATATCTATTTATATTTTATAATATCCACAATATTATCTAAGTAAAATTATAAATACCTATTATTTGTTAATTGTTATTAATATTTGTACACCAGTGTCGAGTGTCGACTAGTGTACACGACAGTCATTCAGTGTAGTCAGTGTCCAGTGGTCTAATCGAAAGGAGCTGTCGCTATTATTACAAAACTTTTTATAAATATTTGGTTTTGGTGTTGCGATAATTATTTTTTTTTTTTTTACAATGGAACATGAAGGATTTATGTACAGAAGTAACGGCTGTAAAAATGGAATCACGTAAGTATTTATTAATAATAATTAATATTAGGTAGTCTGTATTTAAATAACATAAATAATTAAAACAATCAAAAAAATTCCTTCTGTAAATAATTAAAAAATTAAGATTTTCTACAAGTTAATAAATTATTATAATATACCAATTAACCAGATGAACTTCAGAATAGTCTTTTCAAAAATAATCATTTAGTTTAATTCAAATTTCAAATGTATTAACTAATAAATAAATACCTATTATGATCGTAAAAATAATGAGAATTAGAGACAAGTAGCACATACGTTACGTACACTCATTTTTTAGTGTACACTAATTTTTAAAATTAAACCGCATGTTTATGCAAATAAAGTACGACCTCAATTCTGCAAATTTAAAAGTATGTAAGTACTTAGTACTAAGTGTCTAAGTATATCCTTTATTAGTAAATGTTATATGGAGGGGGACTTTTGTCACTACAACAAATTTGGACTGTTTAAAATATGATAGGTAGCTTTTTATGATCTCCTAAATAAATTGATTGTCCCGAATTGTTAAGTGAGATTGGTATTGTAACTCATAAGTATTTAATTAGAAGCTCATGTTTATTTTTTGTGCCTTTAAAAAAAAAAACAAAATGTACCGATTCTTTTTTCCCTAGCGCTCCTACATTATGCAACCTAATTTGTAATGAGGTTGATTTTTTCATTTATATGTCTCATGATTGTATCAGAATGAAAGCTTTGTTATTATTTTCAAGTTAAAACCATTATTATTATTATATTTTTCACAATTTGTGTATTATATTATATCATTTATTAAAATTAAAATTTATATTGTACCTATATATTATTATTTTTCTTTATGTTTTTGGATGTCTAGATTATTATTATATCTTCTATGTTAAAGGGCTTGTGTCCCGTAAAATTGTTATTAAAAAAAAAAAAAAAAACATTATTATATTCTTCAACCTTGAAATATGCTTTTTATGTGCTACAGAATGTTGTAGAAGCTGCATACTCTCAGTAAAAAATGTTTAAAACTATTCTCTAATTATAATTGTAAAAAAAAAAAAAAAAGAAAATTTATAAATATACAATTCCAACATAACAAGACTTTTTCTTTTTAGATACTTTAAATGTAATAAAGCTTCATTACATTTATGTACGGGATCAATGAAAAGATTAAGAGATAACATCATTGTTATAATTCAGCCACATAGAAATCATGTGGGGGATGCAAACAATACCATCCTCATCAACCGTTTTAGAAATGTATTAAAACAAAGAGGATCAACGGAAAATATATTATTAAAAACCATTTATGATGAGGAAGCAAGAAGGTAACTATATCACATATAATATAATAAATTGAACATTGTGTAATAATAAGTATAATATATAGGCATTTGGTAGCTGCATCTTTATACCCCTGGTCTTCTGCAGAGTCTATTATGCGTTTGGCCAGAAGAAAATCATTGCCCAGATTACCGAATAATTTAAGGGAGCTTGCCACACTGTTTGATGATAGGCAACTTGAAAGATTTGGTTGTTGTGAGGAAAATTTTTTCAGATGTTGTGTACAAGACACTGATGGTAAAACAAACATCATATTTGCTTGTACTCAATTTATTAATACTGTGTTACTGAACGATGTAAATGAAATCCATGCAGACGCCACCTTCAAAATAATCCCAGCTAATATGGGTTATCAATTATTGGTTTTGCATTGCATGATTCAAAATTATGTAAGACAGACAAAATTATGAATGTCATTATAAAATAATAATACTTTATAACATTTTTATAGTCCATACCTGTCATTTACGTTCTGATGGAGGGTAAAACGAGAAGATCGTATGAATGTGTCTTTCAGTTTGTAAAATATAATTTACTACCTACATTAAGACCGAGTATTATTATAACAGATTATGAAAGTGCTTTGAGGGATGTACTATTATCAGTTTTTCCTGGAGCCCAATCTGTTGGATGCTGGTTCCATCACAACCAAGTAAGAGTTATATTATGTTACCTACTTTAAAATTTTTCATTAACATTTATAACATACTAGCTGATCCCGTGCACTTCGTTTCCCGTTAAATGTACCAACTCTATATGACTCAAACATTGTTCAATGCGTTATTTAATATTCAGTGTATGTCGTATGATGTTCTAGATTTATCTTAACTTTTCTGTTGCCCGGAATAAAAATTCTGTTTCGCAGCAGTATATTATCAGGTAGGCAATTTACCTGTGGTAGATCGCGGACCCCGTGCTATTTGTACGTAAGTGTATGACTCAACTCAAAAAGTACCAAAGTTATACCAAGATTGACGTTTTGACTTAATTCCACATACCTATAAATCCTAACCTGACCTCACCGTACTAAAATCCGATGAATAAAAAAAACCAAATTTAACCCTTTTTAAATTAGCGTATCTTCTTCCCATAGGTCTAATCTACACACCATCATTCATTTATATATAAGATATATTGACAACAAATAATAATACAAATCAACAAACATGCCTGATTAACCAATAGCAACCAATATAATATAATACACCATAGAGTAAATAAAGACAACGGTATCGAGTTCAAATCCCAGACATCAATAAATAGTTATTGCAGTTTTTCTAATTATTCAGTTGACTTTTTAAAAATTTTCCTTCGTAAAAACCTTCACCTATTAATTACGAACATCTTAAAAAAAATTGAGACAAATCGGATTGATTGAAAAAGTTTATAGATAACATAAAACGATAATGTTTCAAAATAAAATGAATAATGTGCCAACTATTATATTTGTTTACTCTAAAGTTATAAGTGTCTATAATAAAAAATGTATATCAACCAGAATATAAAAATATTTTTTTTTTCGATTTTTATTATTATTTATATTATATTTATATTTATATTTTTATCTGCTAGAGGGCGCCACCGGTGTAACTCAGTTTTTGTCTCTAAATCTCTAACTAACATGAGTTAGGTCCATAATGTATGCTATAAACCCGTTCACCGACATTCTCTATCATTTAAAAAAAATTTGAGCAAAATCGGCCAAGCCGTTCTCAACTGATGCTATTTCTAATTTTTTGTCTCCATTTTTATTTATAAAAAAGAGATAGGCAGTGACGGACTGGCAAGGGTTGCCAGGATGTGATCTCCCGTGTACACTTTGAAAAATAATTTAAATTAACTGCTTATAAGAATTATTTTCATTAGGTGCCTAATCTATATTTGTTTCAATTTTAAAGGCTGTATGGAGAAAAATGAAGAAACTGGGTTATTTAAACCATATCAATGGGAGGCCGTAATTATCCGGAAAATAATTGGCCGGAACGTTAAAATCCGGAAATTAAAATGTCCGGACCGTAATATTCCGGAATGTGAGATATCGGAATGTTAAAACCCGGACCGTAAAAAACCGGAATGTAAATCCCCGGACCGTAAGAATCCGGAATGTTAAAAACCGGAATGTAAGAACCCGGACCGTTAAAACCCGGAACGTAAGATCCCGGACCGTAATTTTCCGGAAATTAAAAATCCGGAAAATAAAATAAAAACAATGGTTCTCAAAATAGTGAACTCAAAAAATTGAAAAACGAGTTTTAAAGTTTTTAATAGGTATTTTAAATCACTGTTAAATGAAAAGGTTTTAGTATTTACATTTAAGGGTTGAGTAAGTTCAAATTACATCTAAGTAAGTATAAAGTTTATAATGAGATTTCTTTGAAATAACTATACAAAAAACTAGAGCGTCATTATATTAACAATTTTTAGGTATAAGGGTCTGAAATTTAAATTTTTCGAAATCGCGTAAAAAAACTTTTTATACTTAAACGAATTTATTACCTATATTATATTACTATATTACCATATTACTATATTATATACTATACTATATTAGATTATACTTAGGTATACTATATTAGATTTTTGATATAATTTAAAAGTATAAGTCGTAAAAAATTGAAACTTTCACCAGTTGATAAAATTGGCATTGTGTTCACAAGATTTTATTTTCTAAATATTGCACTTATTTATTTATATTTAATTATAGGCATTTGTAATATTTAATTATTTTTCATAAATGTTTTCAAAGCCATGTATTATGATAAAATAATTATTAAAAAATATCGTTATTGAAGTTATTCTATATATTCTATATATTTTTTGGTTATTTGAATATTTAGGCCTAATATCCCTATATTTTATATATTTTTTTTAAACAAATAGATCATTTTATATTTATTTATTTATTTAGAATTCAACGCCCTTTTTCCAAAATTAAGTGTGGTATAATGACCATTAATAGATAAAATGTAATAATTTTAGAAAATATAGTAATTATTATGTACAACACTAAATCATATTAAAAAGTATATAAATATATAAGTAAACAAATAATTAAATATATAAAAATATTAAGAAAACACTGAAAGACTAATATAAAATTATAATGTTTTAAAAAAAATATAATTGACTTAAATTTAAAAGTACCCAGACATCCAGAGTTTTATTGAAAAAATCTAAGGTGCTGGAGACTAAATTTGCAAGTTTTAGAGCTCTAATAAAAAAGGAGTCGTTACTTGAATTTAACTTGAACAATGGAATGGCAAAAATATCTTAATTTCTCAGGTAGAAAGAGGGAATACAGCAATAAAATTGACCTGAGCTAAAATTTCAGGGCATACAATATTATAATTTAACAAGTCGTTTCCGAACATAAACAAAATAACTGACGTCTTAGTTGGAGAGAATCTAAGTTTACTAAATTTTGAATTGGCATAATTGGGTCTTTAGAAATAGGTACCTAGGTTATTCATATGGGCAATTCTTTTTAAAGCTTTATATTGGACTAGATCCGGTCGTTTGTCATCGCGCCTGCGGCGGAAAGACTTTGTGGGCTGTGGTGCATCTTTGTTAGCGTTTTAAAAGACCGCGTCGGCGATGCTGGGTTTTTTGATCCGGCCTGCGGCGGGAACGCGGGGTCGTCGGGTATTGTGTTTTGTGGTGTTGGCAGCACTGGTTAAGCGGTAATTTTTGAACTTGGAAGAGTGTCTAGTCGTAAGTCACGCGATTCAAGTCGATCGTACGACAGCCAGCCAGGTAGGCAATCCGAGGATCGCAGACGGGGCGTGTATGTCCGGTTCTTGAGTGTGTGTGTTGAACCGGAAATTCGGATTCTGAGTTTGAGTGTCTAGCTATCAGTCATCTCGGGAGAAAATCGATTCCCGAACGGACAAATAAGTTTATAATCTGTAGCAGTATTTTAACCTAACCAACTGAAATATTATATCAAGTAGGTACCTACCAGCTACTATATAATATAGTGCCTACGCTCATTATAATATAATATAATGACGCAGTTTATTGAGTCAAAAAAATCGAACTCTTCGACACATATATTCATGCCCGTACATAGTAATAACGAATAAGTCTTCGACGGGGGAGGTCCGACGTCTTAAAAAGATGTAAAACTCGAATTTTGAAAAAATCGGAACATTTTCGTATAATATTATATAAAATTATTTTTATAATATTACCTATGTTACATGTGCAAGATATATATTTGCAAATTTCAAAAAAAAACATTTCAAAAATAGTCCTCTAATTCCGTTACCTAGTTTCTGTCTATTAATATTATATGTACCCTTGGAGCACATATTATATGCAACTACATTTACTTATAGATACTAATTTTGCTATTTATTCATATAAATACTTGATATCATAATATGCCTTGTTTATATATATAACTTTACTATTGAACACACAATGCAAACTATATGCTATACACAACCCAAAATACATATTGTATATACCCATGTTATATGAACTAATACATGCATACATATCAATATAATATTACAGTTGTCAGGTGAATGAATTGGTTGAGCCGTTGAGGTAATCAAATAGCCACTTTCCTATTTTGGTAATTAATAATATAATGTAGCATTACTGCCACAGTTATACTATATAATATATATTAATAGTAGTATAAAAATAGCGGTTCTGAAACCACATCCCACATCCCACATCCCTCATCCCACAACCCCTCATCCTCATCACTCATCATACCGCCCGCACTCGCACTCGCACCCACAACCACAACCCACAACCGCATCCTCATCACTCATCACACCGCATCCTCATCACTCATCACACCGCCCGCTGACGTGCGTGACTTATATTATTGTTAACATATTTTATCACTGTTATCATATTATTTCCGTTATCACACCGCCGCCGCCACCGGCCGAAAATAAGCTAAAAATTTTTTTCCGGACCGGGATTCGAACCCGAGTCCGTCGGTTTGGCCAGCGATCACCGTACCACTGCGCCACCCCGACACATATACTTTATATTAAGAACTTGCCATATTTAACGGGTACATAAAACTGCAAAAGAAACATTTAATAATAGCTTGCAGCTGCGTATTAGGAGCCAATTAATGAAAGGATGGAATAGACATCCGTTCGCACGCTCACCGAACAATCAATAAATGACCTATAGTATATCGAATAGAAGATACCAATTAATGAAAAAAAACATTAACCCTAATAGCCTAATTATTGTCATTGCCAGGATGTCTTAATAGCCACCTTAATAATAGATTGCAGCTGCGCGTATTGTCATTAGTAAATCCGTTCGCACGCTCGCCGAACAATCAATAAATGACCTATAGTATATCGAATAGAAGATACCAATTAATGAAAAATACATTAACCCTAATAGCCTAATTATTGTCATTGCCAGGATGTCTTAATAGCCACCTTAATAATAGATTGCACCCATCTTAACATTAGACCACAATGGTGCTTCGTCGTATATTTCCTGCCATTAGACTATTCAATATTTGTTCACACACAAGGAAACATTATAAAATAATCAATAGTCCGTCTACAGACTGTCGCCATAATGCGATTTACTTAACGATATTAAAATTTCAAAATGTCAGTAATGACCGATATAACATTAGACTATTCAATATTTGTTCACACACAAGGAAACATTATAAAATAATCAATAAATGACCTATAGTATATCGAATAGAAGATACCAATTAATGAAAAATACATTAACCCTAATAGCCTAATTATTGTCTTGGTCATCACCAGCCGCCAAGATGTCGCCGACTCTTAATAGTCATTGTGAATCGAAATTCTTAATAGCCACCTCTCATAATAATTCAAGTATCTACCACAAGAAGCATTAGCGTACCTCTGCTTATATATATCACCGAGTATAGCTGAAACGGTTTAGTCTACCCGACACATTCATCGTTCTCGTTCCAACTTTAAAAAATTTCCAACGTTGAAAAATTTTTACAAGTGTTTTTCTTTTCGTTTTCATTTTTCTATCATCATTACCTTAAACATTTTAAAAATGTTTCAATGTACACAGTGCTCATCTGAATTTACACGTAAAGATGCTTTAGTCAGACATGGAAAAACTCATACCGGTATTCGTTTTCCGTGCTCTGTTTGCCCATCGATATTCACCTATAAAACCAACCTAACCAAACATTTGAAAAATGTTCATGGTATGTATTTACGGTTTATATAATATTATTTATTTTACCTTAATTTATATCTTATATTTTTCCCCAAGGTTTTGTTAACGTTCCGGCACATCGTCAGCCCAATGCACAGATTGATCAACCCGTTCCACAGATTCAGATTGGACCGCAAATATTTGTCCCCGATGTTCCTGCTGGTGGCTCGAACATGATGTCCGAGGACGATATTTGCATGGCAGCTATGGACGAATTCGAAGATACAGGTTAGTTTTGAAACCCGAATTAATTAGATTATTAAAATAATTTACACGCCGTGGATTAATTACACAAAGACATATATCGTTATATTATAAACTAAGGTTGATTAGATTCGATACCACTTTTTTTTTATTTTCATTAGATATTAATTAGGATTTTTTTTCTTTTAAAGATTCTTATACGACTGTAGTCAATGGTAAACGCATTTCCACCGCTAATTCTACTTCAGCTGTTAAGGCGAAAAAAGTGCGTATGGAACTGGTTAGATCCCCGGGTCTTATAGAAATTTCAACTTCAGCTAACCGTAAAATAGTATGGTATTACGCTAAAAATATTGATAAAGTTGAAAATTATAATATATTTCTAAACTCATTGAAATCCGATCTAATCGATTTACTGAAAGCACATGTTAAGAAAAACGCTATCAAATTTAATTTGAAACTAGAAGCCACTTATAATAGACCGCGTGTGGAAAATTCCTCGGAAAATCGCGCATTCAAAACATCTGCAGTCGAGTTGTTTAGAGAGTCGGAT